TGCTGGTGCAGACTGTTCAGCACAGGGAATTGCAACGTCCAAATGTCATCTTCCAGGGAAAACACAGATCCTAAAGTTTCCAGGACGTGTGACAGTTTCTCAGCAACCCACCAGTGATCCAAATGCACGGCCACCAAAGCAAACAGCACCACCAGTTCCAGTGAGAAGAACTAAAAGCCCATGTTCCTGAAAATGCCTGCATGTATCATTTCTCCTTTAAAGTTCATTGGATGCTTTGGAATCCAAACTGTAGGCTGTGATCCACACTGTTCTTCTGTCATTTCCAAGGAGCTGTATTTACACTCATTTGACCTGACAGTGTTCAGTGTGGCCGCACCACAGAGCTTTCTCATGGTTCTTCCCAGCATGCTGTCGAATTTTCTATTTAGAGCCCCACCTCCTGGAGCAAAGATTTCTAGTCCTCATATTTTAAAGGAGAAGTTCAAATAGCCCTTAAAGATGCAAAACCTAGAAGTACTACCAAAATTACATTTTTCTGCCCTCATGGATTCTGGACAGTGAGAGCTGATGACAGAGAACTGCACAGACCTGGAAAGAGAAGGCAGCAGAGAATCCATCTCTGAAGATGGGAAGATAAATTTGTTATAATCTGGTAAAGACCAGATCTTCAAGGGATATAGATTTATAGAGGAACTTTGAAAATGTTACCTGCCTGGAATTTAAGTAAGCTATTGATTTAGAAACACATAATGCAAACATGTAATTGTAAATTCAAGTAAAGCTATAAACATAAATATAAAACAAAATAACTGGGTTTTTAAAACAAAAATATTTGTTTTGCAGGCTTGTAGTGCAAACATTGTGTTGCCATGCACAAATATTAAAGAGAAATCTGACAGAACCCAGAAGATACGAAATCACTGGAAAGTGATTCAAAATTTGGGTCTCTGGTAAGGACTATTTTGCTGCCTCGTGACTTCAAAAAGCCAATAGAAAGCACATATACTGGCCACAATTAAAAATTACCATGGCTCAGTAGTGAAAGCATCTTCAGGCTCACATAGTTTGGTTAAAAAGAAGAGGGGGAAAAAACAGAAGTTATAATTAACAAACTATTTGGATTTCAACTACTCAAGCTTCACCTGAGTTACATCAGCCTTATGACAGTAGAATCCACCACCACACCTTTGTTACAGTTGGAGGACTATTTTTATAACTTTCTAAACTGCAATATCAACTATCAAATGAATGAATAGGAATTAAAATTGAAAATTATTCTGGGCATTGTTCTACCAATTACATTTCACAGCATTTTCCTGACCTGAATACCCTGAGGTCACTTATCCTTTGTAATGGAAGAGAAATTATGCAGCATCTTTCCAGATAAAGTCTTACCAGAACCCAGCATACATTTACAAATAACAACAGCCAATCACCTCCTCAAAACACAACCATGTTTTAGCTGTACCTTACTTTCAATTCACAATGAGCAGGACACAGAAGTTGTCATTCAGAAGATTATTTAGCTGGGAATGGCCCCTGAAAGCAGAGGAATTACCAGAAGCCACTGAAAGGGGACAGGGACAAGGTTCTGGGAAGGGAGGCTGAGGCAAAATCACAGAGCCTGAAGTGGGGCTTGGGGAGGACACTGGAAACACCTGGCTCGAACTAGTCTCCAAGGTAAGGGACATGTTTCTCTACCTTAGGCACTACCAGAACAGTTTGAGAGCAGAAAGTCAGAAAGGTTGCAGCATCTGTCACTGGCAGCCTACTCCTTTCTGCTGGGAGTTCTGCTGACAACCAGGGAATCCCAGCAAGCCCACCCCACTGCCACAGTTCTGGGAAAGGGACAAAGCCAAAGGGGCAATCCATCAATAGCTCCTGGCAGCCACCTCCACCAGGCAACTCCTATGGAAATCCCAGAAAAAACTTGCCAACCTTTCCTCCCTGAGGCTTGTCCTTGGGATTTTGCTGCCTGTGGAAGCAAAGGTGGAAGTGGCTGCAGTCCCATAACTTGATTAGAATCACAGAGCATCTCAAGTTGGAAGACACCCATGAGGATCACTGAGTCCAACTCCCTGCTCCTCACAGGACCACCTAACACTAACCACATGACTAAGAGCATCAACCAGACACTCCTTGAACTCTGACAGGTTTAGTGCCCTGATCACTTCCCTGGGGAGTTTGTTCCAGTGCCCAACCACCCTCAGTGAATCAGCTTTTCCTACTGTCCAATCTGAACCTCCCCTGATGCAGCTTTCATTCCATTTCCTTGTGTCCCATGGCTGGTCACCAGAAAGAGGAGACCAGCACCTCCCCTTCTGACCCCCCTGAGGAAGCTGTGATGGGGTCACCCCTCACCCTTCTCTTCTCCAAGCTGAACAAAGCAAGTGGCCTCAGCTGCTCCTCCTAAGCCTTGTCCTCAAGACCTTTCACCATCTTGGTTGTCCTGCTCTGGACACACTCTAATAGTTTGATGTCCTCCTTGTATGGAGGCACCCATGGTGTCTTTTGATTGACACAGAAGTACTGATTGAGCACTTGTGTCCTGTGCCCTCTTCAACAATGACCATCTCAACACTCCCAGATTTCACCAAAAGTGTGGCCATTCCTGGAGAACCTCTTAGGATCACTGGGTATTTACCTCAGTGAAGCACCCATCTGAATCGGGTCAAGTGCCAGCAGAGGCAGCATTTACAGCACAGCAGGCCTGGGTCTGAAATTCCTGTGCAGACCAGCAGGCCAGATCAATAGAAACAAAACCTGAGTCAGAGCAGACGCAATAAATCCCACATTACTGTCTGAAAAGGGACAATACATTCTCCTGATGGGCTACCCAGATGGCTAGACCAGGCATGATATCTGCACTACTGCAGAATCTGACCCAGCAAATCAGAGACATTGAGAACGAGAGTCCAACGTGTCACCTTACAGTGATGCACTGGACAGCATCAGAATGCAAATGTTTTAAATAATACACGTAGTTCATTTTTTTCCTTACAAGAGTTGAAATTAAACTTCTAAAATATGTAATTCTCTATGTTCCCAACCTATAAGGTATGATCAGCACCTTCTATATATTTGCATTCCCAGTCTACAAATGAGTATTCAGTGCCATAACGTAGCAAAAATGCAGGATCTGGATCTGACCTGAGTAGCCATAATGAAACTGAGGGATGGCAATCCGGTAATTTCAGCATAAATTGCACACCAGCCCAAGAGGCAGGTTTCATCCATCAGTGGCTGTGAAAAAGGCACTGCACGTACAAAGAGATGCATCCTGCGGGGTCCGTGGTTGCAAGGGAGAACAGAATGTCTTCACACACACACGGCAGCCCTGACAGCCCAGGACACGCACAGGTGCCATTCCGAGCATCCCGCTGGGCAGGGAGCCCTGTGCACGGCCGTGTGAGCGCCGGGGCGGCCACAGACGCCCCGCGAGTGCGGACGAGCGCGGGGAGCCGCGCGGCCCCGCCTCCAGCTTCGGGCTGCCCCGCGTAGCCCAGCCCGACCGGCCCCGCAGGGCCCAATACCCGGGCTCCGCCGTCGTCCCCCCGTGCCCCGGAGCATCCCTTTTCTCCTTCGCTTCCCTTCCTTCCCTGCAGCAGCCGCCGCGCCCAGCGCGCCCGCGCCCGCACCGTGCGGACAATGACCGCATGGGCGCCACAATGCGTTGCGGGCGGCGGGCGGCTGCGGGCTGCGCCTGCCACGGCCTCCCGCCATGCCTCTCCATCACCACGCGCCGGCTCCGCCCCTCCCCTCCTCTCCATCACCTCCATCCGCTTGCCTTCCCCCGCCGCGCTCGCCTGCCCCGGGCCCGGTCCCCCCGCAGCCGCCCGGTCATTGTCCGGCCGCCGCGGGTCCACCGGGCGACCTCTCCTCGACCGCCGCCGCTCCACCGTGCCGCGTCCAGGGGAGGATGCGAGCGGCGAGGGGACGAGCGCGGCGCAGTCCATTCTTCCGCCGACCGCGGCGGCTCCAGCGGCCCCGCCCGGCCCCGCCGCCTCCTGCGCGCCGGCGCTGATGGGCGGGCGCCCGCCCCGCCGCCGCCCCGCCGGCGAGGCTGCGCTGCCGGGCGGGGATGCGGCGCCCCGCCCGCGCCGCGGCAGCTGCGCGGGGAGCGCGGCACGGACCGGCGGAGCGCCCCGGGCCCCGCACGCTCCCCGCCCGCCGAGGGGCCCGCAGTCCCTCGGGCCACAGCCAAGGCGACGCGAAGCCTCCGCAGCCCCCCTGGCCCCAGCCCGGAGCTCGCCCCAGGCCTTGCGACCACCCAGGGACACCCCTCGTCACTGGTCTCCCCCTGGACAGTGAGCTGATGGCCACAACTCTTGGAATGTGACCATCCAGCTAATTCCATACCCACTCATCGAATCCGTGTCTCTCCAGCACAGAGCCAAGGACACTGTGCGGGTCAGTATCAGGTGCTTTGCCCAAGTCCAGGTAAATGACATCAGTCACTCTTCCCTTACGCCCCAACACATTAACCCCATTGTAGAAGGCCACCAAGTTCATCAGGCACAATTTGCCCTCGATGACAGTAATTTTACAAATGGTCTCATTCATATCCTCAGGTTTGCATGGAATAATTAGGAGAGTGCTTCCAAAATACATCAAGATCCAGCTGCTCTGTTTAAAACCATCTGCTGTAGAAATGCTGGTTTGATGGGTGCTATGGAGCAGTAATTTCTAGGGATGCCCAGAACCAAGAACACGGGATCCCTCTGCTCCATGCACATGCATCACAGAGGGGGCCCAGGGCTTTGACCCACAGGCTTCCACCTGTACAACTGGTCTCATGAAGCACAGGAAGCTATGGGTAAATGGCAAAGGGCTTTTAAAATGCTTTGTCCTGGATTAAAATCACACCACAGCCATAGGGATAAGGCTGTAATAAATTTATAGGGGTGAACAAGGACACCAACTCTGAAAAAGGCATAATTATCTTTTTGCCTCCTTAACAAAATGATCCACTATGGTTCATCCAATTCTATTTGCTACAGTACACATGAAAGCTGCACCACAAAGAAACCCAAGGACAGTTACTTATTGTTAGTTTTTTAATTGTACCATCCCACTGGCTGCTTTTCTACTGAAAGCCAAAATTATCTGTCAGATCCACTGACAGAACACCAGACAGCTGTCACCTGTGGCTACTTGGGACTCCTCTGATATTTGTCAATCCTTCAACATAGACATTGCACCTATACAAGTGCCTGTTCTACTGCTTTAGTGAAACATCTCCCATGTTGTTCAAGACAAGCCAAAGCCATTAAGTAGCCAAGCAGGTAACAGTCTCTGATGAGGACAGCAGTGATATTGCTAAGAAGTCATCCAAAGAAATGCAGTAAAGACCAGAAGTCACGAGGCAGAATCAAACCTCAAATGTACTTTAACTTCAGCAGACAAGCCCCTTCCAATGCCTCAGTTAGTCCTGTGTACTGGCACACATCTGCCCTCTAACTGGAATGATGTGGCGAGAAGTAGAGCAGGTTCTCACATTCTCAGCACAGGCACTTTCACATCAGCTGCCCCTTTGCCTGTTGGGGCACATCTGTCTTCAGCTGTGGGCTCTGCTAACTCCTGCCCTCCATGGGAGGGCAGCAACCAAAGGAGGAATTTCCCTAGAAAGAAGTGGTTACACGTCCCATGTGCAGTGTCACATCCAGTGCACAGGTCAGAGGTATCTGTTCGTGTTCATGGTGTTACAGAGGACAGATTGAGCGGGGAGACACGACGTGTGGGAGTGTTGTTGGCTGACAGTGACGCAGGGAGGAATAAGGGAGCAGGAACATCTGTGGATGATGTTTCTCCTTGGTTGCGAAGCTGTAAGATCTGCCGCAGCAGGGCCTTTCCCTCTTCTCTGGTCTGAAATTCATTTGTAGAAAACAAAACAATGCAAATGTGAATGAGTGGTTTCTGGGTCAAATTCAGTATGTCAGCAGCGTAAGTTATAGTAGTTTGTCATTCTGTAAGGCTACAAGCTATAAAAACCATCCTCATTTCTTTTTTCTTCTGCTCCTTAAAAACACTAAGGTATGTCACTTTTTTTGGTTTTAGTCTTTCCTCCTTTTACTCCCCTGATTGGCACATTTCTTGGGTATTTCAGAGACTGGAACAACTGAAGCATTCCAGCAAAAAGTAAATTGGAAAAGCCTCAAACAAGCTGAATTCAGGTTTTCTAGAGCTCCAGGCAGCTTTGTTAAGCACAGGCCAAACATCCTGCACTCATGGCTAGTGTGTGCCACTAGGCTGTGCTTAAAAATCCCAAACTGCCCACTTACAGAACATCACAGAATACGGAGATGCACACAAAAACCAAGTATTATTATTATCCTCTGCACTGCCTACACACAGAAGATGAGATAAAAGAAGTTTTATGAGTACCATCACTACACAGTGTGTGGGAGTTTGTGACCAGTTAGTTAACTGTTAGTTAGTAACCAGTTAGTTACCTTCTCATCACCAAGATTTTCAGCAGCCTTAGGATTGCCATGTGGAGCCTCAAATTCTTTTATTTAGTGAACACCAATGAGATATGGTTCAATTTCACTATCTAAACCACATTCCATGACTTTTATCAATCATAAGCAGCATCAGTTATCAGGTGTACACCACCACTCAGGATGTGACCTGCATGGCAGACAGCCCTCATTCCCTCATAAAGGACTCTGAGAGGGGCCAAGATCAAGGTCACAGATCCCTTAAGCAAGAAGCACCACAGACTGCAGAGCTACTCACATCATTGAAGGCACAGCATTTCTGAGCACACGCTGAGGCTTCATCCCAGAGCTTACACTTGAAGTAGTACTGGGCCAGGTAACGGAATGCAGTGCTGACCTCCAGGTGCTCCACTATCTCCTACAATGAGGAGGGTAAAAAACACCTTCTGTAAGTGCCTTCCAAGACAGTTCTACGTCATGTTTACTTCTCCTTTTATTCCCAAGTTATCCTCTTACCCCACAGGAATAGATATCCTGGATGTATTTGATGTAGCATTGAGCTGCCTGTTCAGATTCATTCAGCTGTTCGTGCAGCCTAGAAAAGGAGAAAAGTGGGTCACTGGAACAAGACTGAACTGTTAAAGACCTTCTTGGTCTATAGGAAAGCACCTGCTCAACCTGACCTCGACTAAAGCCAGGTCCTTTCCTTCAAAATTTGCAGGACATGCACCATGTACTGCCTCTCATGGAAAGAGATGATCCAGCTTGAAAACATTCAGGCTGGCAGGCAGAGAGGCAGTTAAATACTGACTGCCAGAAGCAGTGACAACCAAAGCAGGGACCTTTGCTTATTTTGTTCCATTTTAAAGCTTTTAACAAACCTTTGCAATTCTATTTACATGCTACCTCCCTCCAGTGCTCCTTCTTCCCAGCTACATCCCAGATTTGTACAGCAGCTTCACCTTCCACTTGCCCTTTTTTTCCCCTTCACTTTTCACATTTTATATTACTTTATCCCCACTAAAAAAAAATAGTGCTGATGTCACAAGATTCGCATTTATTTCACATTACACCCTTTCCCAATGTTACAGCCATATACTAGAGAGGAAAAATAAAATCAATCAAGCTACAATTTTGTACATCATCTACCATCATGGATTGCTTTTAAGCTGCAATACAAAAAATGCAATTGCTAGCACTGCCTGCTCAAATCACCTCAGGATTCAGAGGTGCCTGGCAACCCACATTATGCTATCATTCCCTCTAGTTATCCTCATGGAAACTTAAAGCTAAAGCTGGACACCAGAATTTGCAGTCAGTACAGACCTAAAGACACCAGTTCTTACACAGCTCCAAAAGTAATACTACCTAACAGCAATTCCACTTGTTTACATTCAGTATTTTATCATTAGGTATCAAAGTGTGACTTGCATTTAGCACAATCCTGACGGTTCAGTGACAGTACATACTCACTTGGAAAGTTTCACAAGTGCCATTTTCTCCACATCTCCCACAGCATAAGCCCTCCAATAGCACTGTCAAGGAAGGAAAGTCAGTCAAGCATGCCAAAAAATGACCCCAGCCCAGAAGTCAACAACAGAAAACTACAGGGTTTGTCAGCAAAAGGGGCAGGTATCTGTAGACAACTCCTTATTTATCAGCTGCTCTAATTACATTGCAGCAGTTGTACCTGCCACAGGAATGAATTCCAGCTGTGTGCAGTTTGGGTGGCACGAGCTACACAATTTTGCTTTGATTCCACCCACTGTCCTGGGAGATACCTTAAAGACACATATATCAGTTCTCACCTTTTTGGCTTCCACCAACTGATTGAGTTTCTCATAGCATTCCCCTAGAGCAACCAGCATACGAGAGTCGTTCGGTCTGGAAAAGAGCAAAAAACTGAAATGGTTAATGATTTACACATTCTAGGATCGCCAGGGGAATTTTGCAGGCTGGGAAGAGGTGGCTGCTCACCCAGCAGGGCCCACCCCCTGCCAGTGCTGCTGAGGGGTCGAGTCCTGAAAGGCGAGAAGAGCCGTGTTTGCCATGCCCTTCACACGAACTCTGCACGGAGATGTTGGAGGCTCGTGGCACGGCCCGTGACACTATCCATGGAAAAACTCCCCGCCCCAGAATTTGCCAAAAATGTTGTGACCCGCCCCAGGAAAAGGGTGTGGGGAGGTAACCAGCTTCTTATTAATAAATCCCTTGGAGTGGATGAGAGTGAAAAGCGACACTGAATAATTGGTGTTTGAAAACATATATATATGTAGGGTTTACTTTAGAACAGTTTTGTTTCAAAGGTAAACAGGTATGTTGCCATTTTGGGTGTTATCATCTATATCTGTTGTCTATAGCAATATGGCATAAAGATAATCTTGAAGGAAAATGCACAAGGGAGAGAAAAGGAAAGAAAGGATAAGGGTGCAAAAATGTATATGGTCACTGCCCACCGGGTCCACCAATGAAATTTGGTGGTTGCAGCTTCCATGTCTGTTAGTTGAAGTGGTGGTCTTGATCCATTGGGGCTGGGGGAGGGAAGCCCACACGCTCAAGGAAGCTGTGAGTTATTATATATTTCCAGCTCAGGTGGGAATGCCTTGTATGTAAGTCCTTAGCCAGTAGCAACTATGTCAGAACAAAGACAGATAAACACGGCTCCATTCTCAACTCTACCTGAGCTGGTGGGCCCGTCTGTAGTAGTAGAGACAATAAAATGGCATCTTGAGGATTTCATAGGTTTGCCCCAAGCCATACCATGCTCTGTAGTCTCTTTTGTTCACCTCTATTGCATGTCTGTCAAAGAAAAGGAGATGAACTAGTCAGAAAGCCATCAGGATCAAAACCAAGTTCAGCAAAACACTAACTAAAAACAGAAGGTACTATTACAGACACAAACACCATTTTGTGCAGTGCATGAGTGATACCTGTAAGCCTGGATAGCTGCAGATGTATTCTTCATTTCCATATACTCATGTCCCATAAGTGTCCAGGCTCCCAGATAACGAGGATTCAGTTTCAAGGCCCTTTGGAAATAGAGTGCTGCTTTTTCATGCTGGGAACGCAAGCTATAATAATTTCCTAAAGCAAAAGTCACAATATTTAAATAAATTTTAAAAATCCACAACCAACCAACAAAAAAAAATCCCAATACCAACAGAGAAGTAGAAAAAAGGTTGTAATAGGTATTATCTACTACCTCCTAACTTACATTATAAAAACTAAAGAGTCCTACTAAAGGCAGATCTGATTCAAACCTCAAGAGACCTAACAGCACTCTGTTCTCCAGTGTTCTGGTCAATCCTTTTCCAGTTGTACCAACCAATTTAAGAACCCATCCCCCTGGAATGTCATGATCTTACAAATTAATTTCCTGGTGCTGACACACGATTATTTCCATTGTAGAAGACTACAAAGAGATTTTCAGGTACATGGGTCTCCTTCCTGCACTGGCAGAAATGAGGGAAAAGGGTATTCTGTCATTTAGTCTGCTTCTCGGGCTGCCTGAATCCACATTCACCAAGTGTTTTGGACAGCCTTGCTGGCTGATGACTTTCACAAGTGTTTCCTTGCACAGCCTGCAGACAGCAAAGTAAGGACCTGTAAAAGAGCTGGCTCTCACCGATGACACAGCAGGTCTCAACACGGTACTTGTCTATCTCACAGAGATTATGAGCCAGGTAGCTCAGCTCAGGCTTCATGCTCTAGAGAAACAAAGAAATGAAAGAGATGAGAAAGAGAGCATACTAGGTTTTCTCAGAAAACCTAGGCAGTCAGCAATGCATACATCTCTTCTATGGAGCTGGGAAGCAGGAAGCCTGCATTCAGACAGCACCAGCTGCATTGCCAATGTTTTACATACCTCTGATAAACACCAAAAGTATGGACAGGCCACAGAAAGAGTGCTTACCCTTACATAGAGCAAGTTGGAGAAAGTGTCCATGTTTTCTATCCTGTAAGGATCTTGTTTCCTTAGCTCATTAAAGATGGATAAGGCTTTGTCAATATCTGAAGAAGAAACAGCAGATGGGACACCAAGAACTATAAATGCCAAGTTTGCATTAAGGTGCTCATTCCTACTAGTTAGTATCACTGACCTCGAATATTGTGGTAGGCAACTGCAATCTGAGAGATGATGTAAGTGCTCTTGGAAAATCCTGCATCAATGAGGCTCTGATACTTCTGCAGGGCCTCCTCTATCAGCTGTAGCTCTGTATAAATGTGTGCAAGAAAGAACTCTTTCATCCATGTATCTGGCAAGGACAGGAACTTCAACTATCAAGAACCAAAGAAGAGGAGGAAGAGATGACAATCAGTAGCATTCCACGAGCCACCTGTGGCAAAGAATCCATTATCTTCCCTCCCATGATTTAGCGATGGTCTCGAGGTAGGAGGCTTTCCTGCAATTGCTTCCTTAAACCATAAGACCAGCTAAAAAAGAGCAGTATTAGGACCAAGAATTAATGTCAGGTTCCTCTGCAGGACAGACTAAATAATGCCTATAAACTGAGAGTATTGAAATAGCAAAGGAGCACTAAGACATGGCATCTAAAAAAGCAGTACAATATGTAATTCTACTTAGTTACTCCCAATCTATTCCCATGACTCTTGAAATTGCAGATAAATTGAAACCATTTGGTCAACTGGTGAAGATATTGTCAAATCTGACATCACCTGGCTCTTGCTTCTGCCACTAAGCTTATTTCTCCTTTAAAATCAGAAGTCCTTCAAAAGACTGCACTTTCTTCCTATGTTTGAACAGTATCATATCACTATTTTCAAGGAACTAAGTGAACAGACTCCAAATGAGCTCATAAAAAATGCATTTCCCTTCTTCCACAAATCGGTGAGGCTCTATTCTGTGTCTATTTTAAATACTTCATCAGCAAGAATTTACTGAAGACTTCCAGCAGTGGACTCATAAATTCCATGCAGAAAGAAAAATAATCTGTTTTGGTTTTATATCTAAGTTTGGTTCTTTGATACCATTCACCTCATATGTGTGGCTTTGTGTACATTATTGTCTCAGCTTTAGAAAAAGGAAGTCTTGGGAGGATGTCCTTCATGGGACAAGGTGATAACCCTGGTGATAACTACTTCAGAATACATGAATTAGACATTTCTTAAACTACTTTGTGGGTGAATGGTATGAAATTAACCCTGCCTGTATAAGGATTCTCAAGCTACAGCATGGCAAGCAATTGAAAAAAAAGGGACTTTAACAACATAATTTAGTCTTGGATTGCCTTGCCTGATAGAGCCTTAGAATAAAGCAGTGGGCAACATCAATCTTGTGGCAACAGAATCATTGGTTACTTAATCAGGCTAAACTCTGGAATTTGTTAACACATCTTGGTATCTCTCAAGTTTTACCATCTCTTTATCTGTAATCAAGTTGCAAAGCTCCAGCCAGGCTCCCCAGTGCAAAGGCAAGACATGAGCAGCTTCAACAAACACATCTATTGCTTCTTTCACCAGGTCCAGCTTCCGCAGCACAACACCATACCTGTAAAAAGAGTTATCAGGTTAATCACAATCATAAAACTCTGCATATCCACACAAATATATAAAAAATGCATGCAGATGCCTACAGATAAAGGCCAAATCCATCCAGTTCCCGTGCCTTGTGCTTCTTGCTGAGCTCAACTCTCAGTTCTCGTAGAGCTTCATTTTTCACCTGTCCTTTTTCCAGAGGTCCTGCATGAAGAGCAAGTCACACAACAAGCTTTCAATCAGGAGTCTCACCACAGCAACTGCAAAGTCTGGGGCACATTCAGAATCATCACTGACAAAGGTTTCACAGCCTGTGAATATTTTCCTTATTTTAAAGAAAATCACTTAGTCTGGTCACCTACTTTAGCAGAAGACCTAAGAGATGAAAATCTGTAAGCTGTAATTAAGCCAGTGAATGGAAAGAAAGAAATCATATTACAGCATACTATTATCCAAAAATTTGAGGGGAAAGCCATAAACCCAAGATGATTTACATGAAGAGATAATAGTGACAGTTTTGTTACATTGTCTTGTAAGTCTTGAAACTAGAGACTTACCCAAACTATCCACTGTCTCATCATCCTTCTTCTTTTCCCCTGACTGTGGAATAGAGGAAATTCAAGATTACAATAGCATATTCCCTATGTTTGCTGCAGTGCTTGCAGCAGCACATAAACTGAGTTTTCACAAACATTACAGTTCTGCCAAGAACAGTCCTATTTTCCTTTCCCCCAACACAGAATTTGGACTTCAAGGTGGCCGTTTGGAACAGAATAGGCAAAAAATAAGGTATGCCAGGGAGGGGTGAGAAGCAAAGGAGTTTAGTGCTAAAATGCAACTTGTTCCTCTCCCTTACCAGGTATCTGGAGTACATGTACAAGAAGTAAGCTTTCTGGCTCTTGCAGCCCCGTAAAAAGTAGGCAGCCCTGTCATATTCCTTCAGATCAAAGTAAGACTTGGCCAGTGTGTAGGCATCCAGGTCACGAGCATCCTCCTGCAGGGACACACGGGACTTTTAAGACCTGAGAAGCTCCAACATACTTTAGGAAAATCACAGTTACAAACATATCAATGAAACTGGTCCAAAAGCTAAAACTGTAGTTTATTCGCCCTCAAAGATGGTTTGAGCACTATCAGAAAAGTCCCTCTGCTCCCTCACATGATCAGATTCTGGAGTTTTCAAATAACAAGTACAGACTAGTTAGGGACATTTAAAATACACAGGGAGATTCCAGAAACAAATCGTGGCAAGCTGCCACAAGGCAGGAATTAGCTGCCCAATAAGTACAAATGACCACAAGCAAGAAACCTGCTCAGGAATTCCATATCAAAGAACATTAACTGGCTAATATACACAAGAACATGTCCTTGGTAAGTACACTTTGACATGCATTTATGACACGTTACACTTGTGCAAGTTATCAGCACAGGCACACACCTACGAGTCCTACCGTACACCTACAGAGGCGGGGATAGAGACACACAACGTGGTTCTCCTGTGTCCTAAGGAGCACGAGTTTAGTGGCGTAACATAATTTGTATTAAAGTAAATTTTTACCTCAGTAAAGAGGAACAATTTTGCTTTCAGAGTACTTCACTCAGGACACGGCAGCAGAGAATGCTTTCATCCGGGAAAGCACACTCAGCTCTGCCGCCCCACTGAAACGGAAAAGGAAGCTCCTCGCGTTCCGGCCTCCCGCCCAAGGGAGCTCCCGCGGTCTTTGGGAGATGGGGATCACGGTTTTTTTCCGCAGGACTTGGGTTTAAGCGGCCCATCCCGCGGGAGCTGCAGCGCCTCCCGCGGGGCTCGCAGCCCGCCCCCGGCCGTACCTCGGTGAGCGCGGGCGGCGGCGGCAGCTCGCTCAGCGGCAGCGGCTCCAGCGCGAACGCGAGCTCGGCGGCCCTGGGCGGGAGAGAGCGTTACAGTCATCGCAACCCCCCGGCTGCTGGAGATCTTCAGGGCCGTCAGGTCCAAGCCCAGCACTGCCGCTGTAACCCCCTACACCGCTGAACATCACCCACCGCCAGATCCAGACGCCTCTTGAACACCTCCAAGGGACGGTGACTCCACCAGCTCCCCGGGCAACAGATTCCAATGCCTGACCGCCCCAACAGTGGAAAAAATAGTTTCTTATATCTCACTGAATCTCCCCTGCCTCAACCTAAGGCCCATTTCCCCTGGTCTTCTCACTGCGGGAGAGACAAGGCCCCACCTCACCGCAACCTCCTGTCGGGGGGTTGCAGAGAGCGATGCGGCCCCCCCTGAGCCTCCCCGAGGCTGAACCACCCCGGCTCGCTCAGCGCCCCCTCACACAACGCGTTGCGCCGGCCCGCGCGCCCGGCCCGCCCGATCCCCGCTCCCCGCTCCCCGCCGTTGCCCGGCCCCGCTCACCATTTCCCGCCTGTGCTGCAGCCCCGCTCGCGGCTCCGCTCCGCCCGCTCAGCAGCGCTTCTTGATTTCCCGCATGGTCCGAGAAGTCGCGGCACCGCCGCTGCCGGGCGCCATGGCCACCGCCGCCGCCATTGCTCGGGGTCTCGAGCGGGAGCGCTGAGGGCGCGGTCTCCGCGCTGAGGGCGGGCTGTTTAGAGACTATCACAAAACACCTGCATTTCCTCCCCCGCGCCCTTTTATTAGAGATTTGCTGCTTCGGTAACGTGCAGAGGGGGCGACGTGAATTCCTTTTACCTTCAAGGGGAAATCGTATGAGTTTCTTAAAACTCTCGCCAGGTTTTAAGGACCTTTATGAAAGCATAAATTCTGCTCGCAGCAAAAGCGGTTTCTTTAAAACCCATTTCAAAATGCACATGCTAATCAGCCTGTCCCACAGCAAGCTGGGGCTCGCCAGATTAAGGCTTTTTCACCTTCAGTTTGCCCATCATTCCAAGGAAAATTAGGCATTTTCTTCTTCGTTTTGCCACTCGTGGACTTCAATTTCTCTACTGTTAGAACCAAACACCTTAACAAAGATATGCAATATTAAAGCAATTATTCTCCTGTTGGATTTCTCCTGTGATGCCCTACAAAGCTCGCTGGAGTTACACTGAAAAGTTATTACTTTAATACTCCATATCTTTGTTATGGTGTGGTTCTAACAGTACAGAAATTGAAGTTCTTATTTTGGGATGATTGTGCTCCACAACTTTCCAGAAAAGCTTAAAAACACACAGGATGAGCACCTGTGTGCTCATCCCAGGATCAGAATGTCAGCTTTAACTCTCCGTTTTAAAACAGAAATGAAGGAACAATAGTGCGAAAATTGATTTTTTTTTATGTCATTTGCAGGTTACACTTTTTGGGGTTTTTATTTTTTCTGAGGGTAAACGCCATAAACATTCTGTAGCATGAAAGTGCCCTTCAAAATTACTTCTATTATTGCAGAAGTGACTTGAACCAGAGGACCCAATGTTTGAATTGGCAGCAAGTTCACTGGTGATGAAAGGATTGTCACTGTTGAGCATGGTGTCATCACACTTGTTTCATTATTATTGTAAGAAAATATTTTGCTTGTTTGTTTGTTTGTTTGTTTGTTTGTTTGTTTTTGGTGAGCCATGAATGTCACTCATTCTTACACTCAGTTTCCTGCCTTCTGGACCTGGTTCAAGGCCTAAACCCAGTCTCATCTTGTCCGTTTTGTCTTCTTTGTTTAGTTTTACATTAATAAAATGAGTGATTAAAAAAAAAATTGTGTGTGTGTGAGGTCTATGAAGTAATTTTATCAAGGTCTGTTTATCTTCAGTTTCGGGCCCATTGGGTGTCACCTGCAGTTTTCCTGCTTGAAACTGTGAAAATAGGCTTGAGGCAAGGTTTCAATACAAAATATGGAACCTGCTGCGAAAATGCACAAAGTGCCACTTGGCTGCTTGCTGAAATCTGGGCAAAATGTGCTCTGTGTCCTGTTGCTGGTGCGTGCCCCTGGGCAGCTGTGCTCCAGCTGTTCATGGGACTGCTCCTCTCCAAGGGCAGCGCTTCTGGCAGCTGTGCCAGACCGAGCCGTTCGGGGAGAAAACGTGTTTGTTGGTACCCAACCAGACGGATTCGAGTGTGTGAAGCGCTGTCCCTGCAGCAGTTCACGGGCTGCCGAAATCGGTATTTGTGGTTCCAGGCGCTCGGCAGGAGATGGCGCTTTGGGCTCTCGAAGCAACAAGGAGCAGTTGAAAGTTCATGCTGGCTAAGAGTTCGATAATTCAATTGCTCACAACGGGCTTCATAACCAGAACTCGTAATTCTTCCTGTCATTCCGTTCTGTAATAGATGGGTCTTTGAAGTGACACACGGGGCTGGCTTTTAGAGCAGGGGACTAATTAAATCCTCTGTGCATGAAAACTGATAATATCTTGGGGAGATACAGATTAACTGAGCAGTATTAACTGGGTGCTCTTGGAAGAGCAGGAATTTGTTCCTCGTGTTATTGCACAGCTACCTGGATGAAACTGTCTCTAGTCCCTCACAGAAACACAGTGACAAAACCAATGGATGTTGGTAATGGGAGGGTGGGAATTGTGTCCATCATACCAATGGGTTGTGGAGGTTCTTTAAAAGGAATTTTTTTCCCAAGGTTAAAATCTTCAAAGGTACAGCTGATGCTCAATGAAATCCAATGTAAGTGGCCTTTACCAAGTGCCAGTACAGTGAATTTCATCCGTTGACAGTTAGAGAAAAGTCTGCATTATCTGCATTCAGCTTCTTTATTATGATGCTATAAAACTGTGCTTTTGTACTTGTTTAAAAATCAACTATGGTTACACATTCCAGTATAATTTTACACTGAAAAATTTGATGTAGTAAGAACATCTTTTCTACTGTTGGTTGTATTCTCCATTTATGAGTTAATGCAACTCCCACTTTTGCTTTTGTAGTCTGCTGGGACATCATTAACATTAAAACTTGGAAACCATGTGACCCTAAGGTGTGAGGGAAACCATTTATACTTGATTTACATCGAGACCAAGGAATAAATTGTCACCAACTGTGGACAGTTTCAAAGAGTGGGAGATTGCTTGTCAAAAGTGAAAAAGGTTCCCCTGAGATTTGTGTAAGCTCTGTGACACAGGTCATGTGGAGTTACTTTTATTTGTTTAAGGGGACTCTTGTCAAATCCCATGCAGACAAGTTTTTCTTTCCAGTATCCTTTATATTTCTTCTTTCTAGGACTTAATGAGTTATTTCTAATAAAATGAGAGTTATATTTCTGCCTAGACTGTATTGTATGCTGTGTTAGAGCTCTCTCAGTGACCTGGTGTAGGCTGGAAGTTATCAGTAGCAAGTGTTGGCAGTGGAAACATTAGCCCATGTCTAGTCCCCCTGGTTGGTACTGCCAATCCTTGAACTCCTGGTGTAGTGCTTAGAGAGAGTGCACTACTGGAAAGAAGTGGTAGAGCCATTCTTGGAATGTGAGAGACCAGACTGGCAACAGGAGGAAGGCTGATAGGGAATTGGGAGGATATATGAGAAGGCTGATAGAGCAGCACTAGCAAATAGGAGTGGGATTGCTTGGATCTCAGTAGATGGTTCCTGTAAAGGAGGGAGCAGCACAGAGAGAGGAACACTAGAGCTGGAGGGGAAAGGGTGTGCCAAGACTACTAATACAACTGTCCTGGTTGGATACTTCCAACCAGATTGAATGTTAAAATGCAGAAGAGGATTGAAAAGCACAGAGGGTATAGAAATGTTTAAACAATTCAAGGTTTCCAGATAGCATTAGAGCGTGGGACTAGAGGGGCCCACACAGCTCTGATGGGGGCTGCAACTTGTGGAGAGGGGTGGGAGGCAGGATTTGATATACATTTCTTGTGTGGAATGCACTGTAGCATAATGAAAAAAGTGTCTTAAATTAATGTAGCAAATACTGATGGTTATTTCTGTCAGTGCTGCTATGAAAAGATGGTGCTGGAACAACAGTGTCAGAACAGGTAGCTGCAGGTAGGAGTATACAGTAAGTTGTCTTGTCTGGAAGTAAGGAGGTAGAAAACCATATTGTGACATAAAAGATACTGTGAGAGAGTTAGGATTACTGTAGTATTCATTTACAGTATGTGCAAAATTGAGAGATGGGGAATGTTTTGAAACTGAATAATGTGTTACAGTGCAGTTGGGAAATCTTAACTTTTAGCAGTAATAACTTCACTGACATATGAAATAACTTCTGTGATTCAGCACATAGCTGTTCTTCTGTCAGTATCTCCTGCTTTCCTGCTTCAAACCTGAATTCCAGGAAATCTGCCTATGACTCAATTAATGCAGCATTATGACATCAGAGTAGGCTTTTGTGTATTGTCAGTAATGTCTTTTTCGCCTCTCTCTTGTTCAGATGTGAATTGTTTTCTTGGGAGGTTAATTGAGATGAAGTGAGATAAAATGCCTCTGAGAAGCCTGAAGTAATGCAGCAAAAGTGTTTACTGTGCCTAAATCACTTCATATCTGAGAAATTCATTGACTCATGCCATATATTTTCTGGGTTTGAGAGATTTTATTTAATTGCAGCTTCTGATGAGCTGGAAAGCAGTAGCAGTTATGCATGCATACCTAGCCCATGTGCTGTGAGGAAACCAGCATGCATATGGCCCACTAAGACCCCTGGATATTACAGTGAGATTGTAAAGAACCATGCAGATTCTTAGGATTCTGTTATTCAAGAGCCTTCAGATTGTTGCTAAACTGCAGTTCCTGACTTAATGGAGAATGGACTTGCTCCCCTTTCAAGAGACCAAGACAATTGTTTGAGCCAGTGGTCAAAAATTATGGTTAGGCTGAATTGTAGGAACTAGAATAGTTTGACTGGGTCACATTTAGTGTGGTGCTGTCTGTCCTGGGAGTCATGGAGAAAAGGGTCTGGAGACAACAGAGGCAGTGGTGCTCCTTGTCTCACAGTGGAAACAGGAATCTGGGCTGGCTGACAGCCCCAGCAGTGCTGAGGGCCCGCTGGCACTGCTGTCTGACAGCCCAGGCAGGTGATATGTGCTGAGGATGTCAGTCCTCCACCTTTCATCCTCCCTTCAGTGCTAATGGTTGTATACTGAGGCAGTAATGAAAAACTAGTTGGGCTGCAAATCCGTTGCTGTTTTTTCCAGGGGCCACTGGAGTTGAGAGTGAAGGAACTGAGTTTGGGAAGGCAGAACTGCCCCTTTCATTACTGGTGAAAGTTTATGCTGGAATAAATAGAAGTTATTGGTATGCAAGGATTTTTTTTCCTCTCCTCCCTATAAGAACTGAGCATGGAAATAAAATAGTGGTCGAAGCTGCTGGTAGTTTCCTTATGTGTGAGCTTCATTACTAAGCAAGTCAGAACAGATTTCTAATGTCAGGAAACTTAAAAGTTCTTTCTGCAAATCCTTATTTATATTTGGTCTGTCCAGGCACTTTCTCCTTTTTCTTTACACTTATTCTCCCTATGAGAGAAAAGGAGGATGTTTTACAGTGGCCAGCAACTCATTACTATGTTTTAAGGCAGCAGCATTTTATAAAAATTGGAGCAGTAATTTTCACCTTACAAAATAACTAAATGATGGGTACCTACAGCTCCTCCT